TGGACAGACCCAGATCCTCTAGCAGAGACCGGTCCACCGTGGACAGAGACCGGTCCACCGTGGACAGACCCCGGTCCTCCAGCAGAGACCGGTCCACCGAAGGCACGGGAGAACCAGAACCAGGACTGAGAGGGGCAGACTGTCAGACCCTGCTGCAGGGACTCTGGTGCTCAGAGACACTTTAAGGAAGATGAAGAGTCGTGAGGTGTCGGTACCCGGCTGCATTACACCACTTCACTAAGGTTGCTCTCAAACTCGTCTAAAGATGCCTCAGTGGAAAGAAAGTGCAGCATAAAATCAGCATAAGAATGTCCTGAGGATGTTTTGAGGAGAACCCTTTGATCTCTAAGTGTTAGCCTTCAGCTGCTGAAGAATTCCCTCCTGTGTTTCTAGAAGGTTCTTAGTAACCACAGCAGTCTGTTTAAAGGGAAACAATCAGACAACGGATGAATTATTATTATTACAAAATATTCATTAAATGACACGCGTATTACGATTATATTATATGTCATGTAAAACATTCTCCTTCTCAGCTTAAGATGGAATCTTTAGTAAGTTTATGTAACGTGTTTTAATAACGACAGAGTTCTCCTTTAGAGCCTCTGGAAGCTACTAGAAAGAGTTCACTTCTGCTGTGAGCTGATGAACTCTTGATAAATGAAATGAACCCGTCAGAGAGACGTCATCTCACCCTGAAGCAAACGTCAGGACGCCAGCTGCATGCTGGGACGGGTGTCAAACAGGAAGTGCTGCGTCTGTAGTAAAGCTGAGAGTAATCGCCACAGAGAGCTTCAGTCCAACGCTGTGAACACTTTCAAGTCACCGCTTTGAACGTCAAGTCGTTAACACACAGAAACTCCCACGGTACATGAACGCAGCATTAACGAATCAAAGAGGTGTGTGTGTGTGTGTGTGTGTGTGTGTGTGTGTGTGTGTGTGTGTGTGTGTGTGTGTGTGTGTGTAAATTGTCTTTGATATTTCTTGTCTTTTGATACTGAAACTTAAACTGCTGATTGAACCTTTGATTTCTTAAATCCAGCGTTTTATTTTAACGTCTGTGTTCAGCAGCACTCGATGCTGATCGGGGGTTCTCAGTGTGGGGGGGGGGGGGTCCGAGACCACCGACAGCCTCAATAGCAAAATGTCTCAGATTCTCTAAAGTCATAAGACGTTCATTCATCACTAAACTATCTTTTGATCAGTTTTTAATTATTCAAACTGCTGAACATTTATTCATAAACATGAAAAGTGAGAGACGACGTGAATCACAGCCGACCAGAGACGGCGAGTCTGTCTCCACGTGTGTTGGTGGACCTGACCCCCTTTAGGACACATCCGGTCCAGAGTCTTTCTGGAGAAACCTGGATTAAAGCCATCAGGGTCTCTAACACACGGCTTCTAAAACCTTTAGTTTCCCAGCAGGTGCTTGAACTACCATCACTCCCCCCCCCCCCCCCCTTAGGTGTTCCGGTCTAAGCTGGACAGCGATCCAGGCCTCTCCTTATATCAGCCCAGGTCCGGCTCGGCGTCCCCTCTGCAGCACGGAGCGGCAACACTGGGACGCAGCTCAAAGGTAGACCGCAGCCTCTGATTTATTATCTTATCATTTAAAGCCACTTCTTCTTCTTCATGCGTCTCTGATGTCGGCCCCCTCTGACCCACTAGAGCCCCCTGCTGGCGGCCAACAGCACCGGCAGTCTGCCCAGGAACCTGGCTGCTACCCTGCAGGACATTGAGACCAAGAGACAGATCGCTCTGCAGCAGAAAGGTAACGGACACCGAAACATTCATCGAGCGAGGACTCGATGAGTAGCTGAACGCTACGTAGTGAATGGATTATCTCAGGATACGTCTTCAGAGCCTAACGAGTGACTCACTGCTGCATGAACTGATGACGATGGGACACAAACAGGTTATTATAAAGATGTTTAGCTTCAGTTCTGGGTCAAGGGACGGCAGTGATGTTTAGTAGTGTGGTTGTGTGAGGTTCTTCTACACGGTCAGAGTTTCACTACAGCAGACGGAGGTTATCTGTGATCTCTACAAACACACCAGACTCCGTTCACTAACAGAGAGACTCTACCGCTCAGATCACAGGAGCTGCTGCTCCTCCTGTTACTGTGAGACTTCAGTGTTTTAAAGAGTTAATTCAGATTCACTATATATATATATATATATATATATATATCACACAGGTTTTAAATATGTTTGCATGAACCATATCTAATCAGAATGTTGTCATATTCTGATTATTTCGTGTGCATGTAAACGTAGTCACTTAGAAGTGGATGAGCTCATAACGTTTTAGGACGAGAGACTCAGCAGCCAATCAGGAACAGAGACTAAAGACCGAGTCAGTGCAGCAGGTTACTCTTATTGATTCATCCATCAAACATTAACCGGAACTTTGACAACGGTTCATTTCAGCCTCTCTTCATCTTCATCCTTCTCTGGTGTGTCGTTAACTCCCCCTCCTCCTCCTCCTCCTCCTCCGACAGTTCTTTTCATCTCTCTTTCGTCTGTCTGTAACGCATCGAGAGCGCTCTTTCTTCTTCCATCAATCTTCCATGAGTTGCTCCTGCTGGTGGAGAATAAATCTTGCATGTTGGACGAGCTCCTTGGATCTGGTTTCCAGACGTACTTGCGTGTCCGTTATGAGGTCATCAGATGCTGAGCTCTGTGGTGACGGGACGAGCTTGTGTTACTGAGAGAGAACCTACTTGCTTCATGTTGGGGTCTGTGGTGCTGGTTGTTGCCTGCATGTCGGTTAGCTCTGCAGGAAACAAATTGAGCTCTGCTGACGCGTTGCTTGCAGGCCGAGAATCCGCGCCCCCCCCCCCCACAGGTCACCAGGTGATCGAGGAGCAGCGGCGCCGTCTGGCCGAGCTCAAACAGCGAGCGGCGGTGGAGGCCCAGTGTCAGTGGGAGGCGCTCCACGGCTCCCAGTCCCACCTGATGACCTCGTCTCCCTCCTACTCCCCCGTCACGGTCTACGGCCACCCCCCCCCTCCTCTGGTCCACCACTCCATCCTCCACCACCAGCCGCCGTCGGCCGGTGAGCAGCCCTACGACACGCTGAGCCTGGAGAGCTCTGACAGCATGGACACCAGCGTGTCCACGGGGAACAACTCGGCCTGCTCGCCGGACAACATGTCCAGGTACAAGTACACACTCTTACATGTAGTACGCATTCAGTCGGGACATACTACTCCCTCAGAACATCTCAAACTCTGACCCTAATACCCAGGCAGCAACCTCCAGCTCTGAAAAGTAAAGCCAAAGCTTCATGTGTTAAAGCTGCATTCTCTCTAGTGTCCAC